CGCACACCCGCGCCGCGTGCCCCTCATTGCCGGCCCGCAGCAAAACGCAGCTGGCGCCCACCGGCCACCCCGCCACCCCGCACGAGGGCCGAAGGCGGGGAAGGCCGAAGGCTCTACGCGCAGCCAGCGACACATTTCGCGCCGCCCGGCGGCAGGGCACACGGAGCACGCACTCGGGGCGCAGCAAAGAAACAAGCAATACGTCCACAGAAAAAAAAAGAGAAACACACTCCGTTCCTGCAAAAGATAAAATAAGAAAACACAGCTAGTACACGCCTCAATCGCACAGCGGGTATATCGTATCTCCCGGGGCCCGTCGTATACGGGCGGGGGGCGACGTGCCGTTGCCGAAGCGGGCCATGAGCGCAGCGTAGTCGTCCCCCTGTACATGGTGGACACACATGGAGGTCGGCACCACCTGCGAGTGCCCCGTATCGTTGCGGACGTCATGGAAATGACAGGGCAGCACCTTCACGTGAATCAGTGGCTTGTACTTCACCGCCTGCAGCAGAACCCACCCGACCATGAAGTCCTCGGCCTCAAACCGGAGAAATATAAACTCCTCCTCCCGCTCCTTGGTGTACGGCAGGTATGCCAGGCGCCGCAGCGGCTCGTACGACACCAGCGCCTCCGCCACGTCTCTCGACAATGTGTAGAAACAGCCCACCATGAAGGCTAAACCGGGCAGTTTCTTCTTCCCAAATGAGGCAAAGCCAATATGAGCTCCCATGTAGATGCCTCGGCGCGGCAGAAGGCGCAGGAAGGCCACAAGGAGCGGCACGCGGAGGAACATGTCGTCGTCGCCCTTCGCAAGGTAGCTGGCGGTGGGGAACGTGCGGAGGGCAAAGTGAAACCACATGTACACCTTACGGCTCAAACCAATGTCCGCCTCTATGCCCCAGAAACCGTAACGACCATCCGTTTTGTTCATCGTCGCACGGCCCTCCTTCATAGGCAGCGCGACCACGTCGTTCCACAGCGCCGCCTCCTCCTGCAGCGCGGCAGAGTAGTTGTAGCCGTGTGCCGGGTGCCGCCCAACGACGTACAGCACAAGCATTTCACCGGTGAAGTCATTTGCCCGCGTCGCCACACCGGGGAAGCGCCAGCACGTCGACCGCTGCAGGTTGCGTCGCCGCCCTTCCTTCGTTCCGTGGAAGGGAACGCCCAGCACGAGCAGGTACTGCCGCCGGCTCCACGTGTCTACAACACTCCGTGGGATGAAGGCAAGCGCCGCGTCGTCCGCTGCGACGGCTCGCGAGTGGAGGTAACTGTCGCCTCCTGCTGCGTCGCCATCGGCGGCAGTGTCAAGCCTGAGGGACAGCAGGGTCGTGACCAAAATGAAGAGAAGCAGCAGCAGAGCAACAAACCTCAGCTTCCGCCTCGCTGTCAGCAACTTCGGCTTTGGCAT